AGAGTAATGGTTGGCAATGAGGGAAAAAGGGTTGAAGCAGAATCAGCAAGAAGGGAATGGACACCAAGATCTGTGGCTTTACTTGATGAGCAGATTGCTCTAGCAAGGAATTGTAGGCCCTTGTCTTGTGGTCTAGGCAAGTATGAAGTAGGGTATTTCAATGATAGGTTTATAGTTCATCTGAGAAATCAAGTAAGTTGTAGTTGTAGGATGTACCTCATTAGTAGAATTCCTTGCTGCCATATTGCATCTGCACTAAGACTAGAAAGGGGAGCTGCTCAAGACCCAAAGACTTTGATCAATATCTGGTTTGGAATTGGGCAGCTTAGGAGATGCTATCTTAATGGATTAAAACCTYTTAATGGGATGAATCTTTGGGAGATAACAACAGATGTGAGGGTAAATCCACCTCCTTACAAGAAGCTTCCTGGTAGACCTTCAGGGAAGAAGAGAAAGAGAGAGAAAGGTGAAGCTAGGCCTGGAAAACTTCCTAAGAGAGGAGTCAAAATGGTTAGATTCTATGCTTTTAGACCATATAATCCATTTKTGTGTTGATAATACAGTCTAACTTTTTCTTTCTATCACTACATAGCGTTGTAGCATATGTAGACAAGAAGGGCATAGGAAGAACAAATGCACCAGCGAAGCTGAACCTAAGCAAACGAATCCACCTGGAAGACCACATGTCAAGCCAATAGGTCCACCTCCTACTGATGTATCTTTAAGCCAACCAATCGAATACCAAGGAAACTCTTTTTTCAGCCAAATTGAAACAGGGTCAGCTTCTCAACCATGTGAAGATCTTCCTACTCTATCATGTGCACTACCAAGAAAGAAGCGTAGAAGACCATGTAAGAATCCGATAGAAACAGTGTCAAGTTCAGCAGAAGCACCTTCTCCAGGTCCAGTTTATGACAGTGGCCCAAGACACATACCTATGGTAATCTCTTGTTCTGTTAGTTATTTCTTACGTGTTGTCTTCACTTTTTTTTACATATTGTCTTCACTTTTTCTTACAGGAAGGTTATGGTGTTTTCACAAGTTCAGTAACAGGTGATGACTATGTTTCGGTTGGTAGGTCTGTAACTGACACAAGGGACAACACGGTGTTACCTTCCTACCTCTACAAAGCAAGGGAAGCTAAGAAGTTGGCTATTGCTAGTGGTCGTGGCAAGATATGATTAAACTTTATCTGCATCTTTTAAACCTGGTTTCGGCTTTATTAATGCTTAGCAGACATCTTTTGGACCATATTTGGCTTATGTAATGTTTCTTTTGGACCATGTTTCAGCTTTAGCAGACATCTTTTGTGATTTTCTACTCTATTTTTGGATCATGTTCGGCATATGTAATGTTTCTTTTGGACCATATGTATGCTATATTTGACTATGTTTCAGTCTTGCATTTTGGTTTGATATTGATAACTTAACAACAATTGTCACTTCTCACAGTTCTCAAACACAACGATCCACATTTCCATTTCTCATCACAAAAACTGTGATTTGGTCTTACAAATACAAACTTAACTAATGACTACACTTATAACACATGAACACAGTTCCAAAGATGAATAACGTGATGAACCCTTTTTTCACCAAATTCTCAAGGTCTTGAATTGGTTTCTTCTGGCCAGATTCAATTGACATTATCTTCTCCAAAATCATGGTTCTCTCTAGTTGTGCTTTCTTCATTTCCACATCCATTATTCCTTTTACACCCTCAAATACCTTCTTCTGTTTTTCACGAAGGAGCTGGATTTCCTCGATAATAGCCTCGTCAACCATTTGAAGACATGATCAAAATTCGGCTGTATGATACATAAGATAGTATTGTTTACTATTTTACATCTCAATAGAACATAAAATCGATTAAATAGAACATAAGAAAGTCTCTTACCTTTTTATACCACTCACAACGAAAGAATTGGCGACTTAGATTCTTATCTGTCGTCGAGGTGTAAATTACAATCGACCCACCGCAGCCACACCTCTTTGGAACGCCAAAGGAATCGTCATCTCTGGTGCAGCGAGTTAGCAGAAGAATTAGGCATTTTC